AGAGCCCAAGGGGAGGGGCGGGGCTGTAGAGGGTAGGAGTTGGGGGCTGCTGGGACCCGCATGGGGACCCCGCCGGTTTGGACCCGTGTCTGCCTCCCCGTCGTGCACCATGAATGCATCTTCCTCCCGCTGCCCTCGTTTGCTCCTCTGCACCAGCTCTGTTCTGTGGGTGCAGATGTTGAGCCCCAAATGTGTGCAGGACGCTGGGAAACCAGCAACACCAACCTCCGGGAGCTTCTCTTTGCCGAAGGTGGCGGGGGTGGGGGGTCGGTACCCGAACAACACCGCGGACAGGTGCACCTGGGGCGAGCACTGGCCCTGGAGTAGATGCGGGACGGGGTCCTTCAGTCACCAGATGTCCTGCAGGTGCGGTTTCTAGGGAGGGCGCCCGCCTAATTTCCCTCCCTACCCTCCCACAGAAGCCTCATGGGGTGCTTGGGGCCCGTGGGGTCCCTGCTCAGGGAGCTGTGGGCCCGGCCGTCGCTTGAGGCGCCGTCGCTGCTCCAGCTCCACTGGAGATGCATGTCCGGGGCGTCCCCTGGAGGCGCAGAAGTGCGTGCGTCCTCGGTGTCCAGGTAGGAGGGGCGGGACCTGGGGGCGTGGTCATGCATAAAAGAAAGGGGCGGTTAGAGGCGTGGCCTGGAGGAGAGGATTGGGTTAGAAGTGGAGCTTGGGTGCGGAGGGGCGGGGCTAGTTAGGAATGCGGGGCGGAGCTTGGAGAGAAGAGGCGGGGCTTGGAAAGGAGCCGCCTGGGAGCCGGAGCCCAAGGGCTTCAAGTCCAAGGTCAGATGGAAACGCTTCCTTCCCTCCCGGTGCCAAGGATCACAGAGGGCTGTGCACATCTGGACGGGTGGATGCCATCGAGGGGGTCGTGTGTGGACAGATCCAGACAGAACGCGACCCTTCCAAGTGTGCAAATGTCTCTTAGCGAAGTCGGAGCTCTCAGGGTGCAGGCGCGCGTGGCATTTGCAGCCCCACCCGTCCCCCGCGCCCACGCAGACACGCGCTCACACCCTGGCAGACACGATGCCCAGGCCCTCCCAGGGCCAGACACTAGGCCAGCCAGGAGGCGACTGGAAATTCCGATCGGCCCTGGGCTCCACAAACACCGTCTGAACACTGCTCCAGCGGAGGCCGCTGCAGGGTGGGGGCGCACGGTAGCCAATGGGGCGTTGGGGTCCCCACCCCATTCCGCCTGGCTCTGCCCTCCCGGCGCCTTTGCCCTGAGGTTTCCAGTGGAATTTTCCATTTTATGGACAAACCGCTGGATTGGGAGGGGAGGAAGATGTTCCTTGTATAAGACCCAGCCCCTCGCTGGGCCCCCCCTAGGCCCTGCCTAGAAATGTTCTCTCATGCTGGAAGGGTCTATTCATCTTTTAAGACTCATTGGTTCCATCTCCTCCTCCAGGAAGTCTTCCTTGCCTCTCTGCCCCCTGCCCCTGCCAGACCACTCAGTCTCACCATAATATGGGGAGGGAGTGTTTGCTGAGTGACTAACGGAGCAGAAAGTTCTCAGGAGGGAGTGGAGAAGACCTTGTGCCCCTGCCACATCCCTGTGTCTCCCCCCTCCAGGGTGTACCCCTGACACCTGTGAATGCCCTGACCACACCCTCCTGGGCTCCGTGACCACCGCATCTGGGCGGCCACTGCCTGGAGCCAGGGTCTCCCTACGGGGCCGACCTGGCACCGTGGCCATCAGCGATGCCCATGGAACTTTCCGGGTGCCCGGAGTTTGCGCCAGCAGCCAGGTGAACATCAGTGCCCACCTGGATGGCTTCTCCGGGGGTGTGGCCCGGGCCCGGGCTAACAGTTCCCTTTCCGCTGTGGTCACCGTAGTCCTTAATGAGTTGGGTAAGTACCTTGGTGGCTAAGGGCATGAGGGAACTAAGGGACTGGGGAGGAAATTCCAGGTGGCACTTAGTACTTGAGGTCACGGGGGAAGAAATAAGATGTAGGGCCGGCAGGGGGCATGGTGGTTAAGGCGCTGGACTCCCACCTAGCCGACTATGGTTCGAGTGCCGGACCTGGCGGCTTGCTTTCCCTTTCTCTCTCTTTGTCACTCTCTGGTCAAAGTTAAAAAATAATAATAATAATAAATTTAAATAAATAACTAAAATTTTTATGAAATAATTATTCTATCTAATTCTATTTATTCATTCCATTTTTTAAAAATTTGACCAAAGAGGGGCCGGCAAGCGATGTGGTGGTTAAAGGTGCTGGATTCCCACGTGGCTGACCATGGTTCGAGTCCCAGACTTGGTGGCTTGCTTTTTTGCTTTTCCTTTCTCTCACTCTCTGGTCAAATTAAAAATTAGTAATGACAAATAAATATTACTTTAAAAAAGAAAAAAAATTTGACCAAAGAGAGACACAAAGAGAGAGAAGGGAAAGTGAGAAAGCAAGCCACCAGGTCTGGGACTCGAACCGTGGTCAGCCATGTGGGAGTGTCCAGCACCTTAACCACCATGCCACCTGCTGGTCCCTCTAAAGTTTTTTTTTTTTTTTTTTTTAACAAATAAAAAAGAAAGAAAAATAATTTATGATGTAGTCAGTGGGACAAGCCCAGGGTGAACTGGGGTGTTCTTGAAGGAAGGGAAAAGGAGGAGACCCTGTCCTGAGAAGGGTCATTGGGGGAAGCTGAGATGGGACAGAACCCCGATCTTTGCTGCCTTTTGGCCCCCAGAGAAGCCCTACCTGGTGAAGCACCCTGAGTCCCGAGTACGAGAGGCCGGCCAGAACGTCACCTTCTGCTGCAAAGCTTCAGGGACCCCTATGCCCAAGAAGTATTCCTGGTAAGTGACCGCCCTCAATGCAGAGGCCTCTGGTCTAGCTTTGGGCTTGGACTGAATTTCTAGTGATAATATAATACCTCAAAGACCTCTCGGAGGGACCAGCAGATGGCATAGTGGTTATATTGCCGGACTCCCACACAACCTACTACAGTTTGAGTCCCAGATCCGGAGGCTTGAAACTCAGGCCGGGCACGTGTGCGTGCGTCCCCAAAATCCCAAGAGGAGAATGGAGGAGAAGGGATTGCAATGTGGCCATCCCCCCACAGGGGGTAATTTCTCGTTTTCTGTCTCTCTGTCTCACCCGGTGAACGCATGCACCCTAGAGCAAAAATCTCTCTAGAAAAAAAAAAAAAAAAGATCTTCTGGAAGCAGACGCCTGCCTCAGTTTCCCATCAGAAAAATGGGAGAAGCTTGAAGGAGTGGACAGAGGTTGCGCGGGCCCGTTTTTTTTTTTTTTTTTTGGGGGGGTTTTTGCTATAGGGCGCGGGCCCCCCCCAAACCACAGAGGGGA